TCAGCATGGCAGGCTGGACGAGATGGGAAGGGGCGAGGCGGAACAGGACGGGGCGCGGTGGGAGGTAGCTGGCGACCCGTCCTGGACCGGATAGGGGCGTGGCGGGGTGTGACGGATCGTGACGGGAGCGGGGCGGGGCGTGAGAGGGGGATAAGCGTCTGTAGTGCAGTCGCGGTCGCAACGGCGACGCAGCGTTTGGCGCCGGAACCAGAGCGGCGGTGGCGAGACGGCGTCGCGTCGCGTCGCGTCGCCGGATATCCACGCCTAATTAGCATACGAAAGTCCCAAGATGTTGCGCAAAGTTGGACGCCCCGCCGCCGCCGCCGCCGCCGCCGCCGCCGCCGCCTATGGCTGCAACTTCCGCGCGGACAGAGCGCGCGCGCGGGGCGCTGCAAACACGCGCATTAGCATGTGAAAGCGGATGCGGTCACAGGCGCCGCCGCTCGTTGCGGGCAACGGCGCCGCGCGATGGTGCGTGACGTGGCGCTGCCGCCCTCCGCTCTCACTCTGCCCCTGCCTCCCGCTCCGGCCGCCCACGCGCTTTCGTGCTCGCTACGTTGCTCCCGGCTGGTTCCTCGCATCTACCCCGCTGCTCTTGGAGTATCGTGGCCGCCACTGGACTGGGTCGCACGTGCGCACGCCGCTCCCGCAGCATTTTCTCTCCCGTGAACGCCCCACTTGCGCATCCCCACTACTTCCACATTCACCTGCTCGCACGTTCACTCCGCTCCCGTGTTCATCCCGTTCCCACATGCATCTCGCTCTCACATTCACCCCACCCCGAATTCACCCTGTGCCCACATTTACACCCCTCCCACATTCCCCTGCTCTCCGTCCCACCGCTCCCCTCTGCCCTCTTCCTTATAGGTTAGTATGTTTAAAGGACACGAAAGAAATCGTAAAGTCGTGTAGAGAACAGAAATTGTGTAGAAAGGAGCATCAGAACATCTCAAATCCGCTGAACACTGAGTGATCGCAGAATCGGAAACTGGACGGGTTCGGAAGTTCAGAAAGCAAGAAGCGGCACCTCACTGATTCCCCGATCTGCCGTTGCCTGGCTATGCGACTGACTGTCGTGTTGTCCCCTCAGCGTCCTTCGCTGGTGGTTGCGGTTGCACCCCCCCCTCGTCCTGCAGCTCCTTGTGTTACGTGGCCTCGCCGCGCGCGCCATTTGCATCACCCTCGCCCTTTCTTGGGCTCCGCCTCACGGCTCCCCGCGGAAGCGCCCCTCCGTTGGCGTTTCCTCCGCGCCCTCCCGCGCGCCGCGCAGGGCCTTCAGTCATGAGCGATGTACTGGTCGCTTGGAATGGTGTGGCGTTGGCTGGTGGGGCACTCAGTTCTTTTAAAACTTCTTTCTCTTTCTGGCTTAGTGGAGGAAAGTGTTTGAAAGTTTTTGAAGGGCAGCGGTGCGTTGGGGAAAGGTGAAAGGATAAAAAGAAAATGTTTATATTTTCTTCCTCAATAATTTTAGATATTATTTTACGCTTTATTCGCTATTGAAATGGAATTTATTGTTATGCATTACTTTTTTTAAGAAAAATATTTTTTTACATTGAATAATACTATTTATAGTATATTATATAGCCTCATAAATATTTTCTTTCCCGCGGTTTCATAACAAATACGTAAACTCTTTCTTTTTATTTCAACTTTCTTCTTAATAAATTAGCTTATTTTTTGTTAGCGAGAATAAGAGAATACAGAACATCCATTCTAATAGCATAAAATAAGACGGAATGGTGAAAAAAATGTAACAATACAGCTTTTTACGAAGTTTTGTGATTTCCAGTTTCATGTCAGTATTGTCTATCGTGTTAATATTCACTCTGTGGAATATGCACTTCTGCACATTAGTACATGCTCATACATTATGGATAGAGAAGATAAAATCAGTATATTCATTCGTGAGCAATAAAAGCAGAATTTTTTCATGCATCTTTCTACCTCAATTCTTTCAATGGAATATAAAAGCCATCTCTTCACTACCGCATGTGAGATTCGTTTTCACTGATTGACAGTCCATATTGTAGTAAAAATTAAATGCAGCCACTATGCAGTATACGCACGGAATTCGATAACAAGCTCTTTGCTTGATTCGATTTTATACAGAGAGCGCAATTGTTTGCTCAAATACACTGCATCCTGTAGGAAAGTAGACTGAACAGCCACCGATGACAAGTTTTGAGAACAAATATCAGGAGACAGGCTATTCGATTACAACAACCGTTTCATGAATATTGATATCAAAATATTTGCGTCAGGGAGGAGATAATCTTTCACTGTCGTTGAAGAGTAATTTGCTTGTGAGTTCTAAAAGACTGATAGGAGTTTGTTTGTGATCTGTCAGATCACGCGTTGGGAATACCTCTGAATCGAAATTCATTCAATCTCTCCTAATAACTTGGATCGTCATTACAAGTTTAAGAGGATATCCAGACATTAATGCACACCAGACTTAGTCATTTAATTTCTTGACATTAGAAACATTAAACTCTTCTACAAAAAGCTCCTTTAGAAGGGTTGTTGTACCGAGTAGTTGAACTTTACGTAAATAATGATATCATCCAAAATATTGTGTAATGATTCACAGAAAAACAAAAGTACCTTAAAAATAGTGTTAGATTACATCACTTCCAAATATCTACATTCGGAAGTTACATTTTGTGACACGCAGAATAAAATCATGTATCCAAATATTAACGAAAAGCTGCTTATCGCTTGTAGAAACGATCTGAGTGTAAAACCGCCCTGATTCAATGATGCACTGAAAAGAACATCAACTTAGATAATGAACTAAATTTTTCATTGCGTGTAAGAGACGGAACGTGTGTACCAAATAACGAAAAGCTGTACAGAAGTTTTTCCCAACCTGAGCAGACAAGGGATGATGATTTATGTCGATTGGTACTCGCATGCAGGGTAGCACTGACGCAATTGACGCGGGTGGTGTGCAGCGGCACAGATCACGGGGCTCTGGGCTGAGGGGAGTGCCGGGCGGGGGCGGGGCGCTTGCGGTGGGGCCGTGTGGACCTGGGCGGTCCGCGCGTCGCAAGCTGCGGTGGGAGCTGCCATGACTGCGTTCGCGATGAATGAGTTACGGAGCGCGTGCAGCGGTGCGTGTGCCCGCGCGCATCGCCCGGCGCCAACCGCCCACCGCCCACGCCCAGCGCTCGTCGCCCGCCGCCCGCCGCTCCCGCGGCCGTAACGCCAGCTGACCGCCCACCGCTCTCGCAGTCAGGCGTCCAACCGCTTCGTTGACTCCCACGCGGGGTACCCGAATCCACCCGTTCTCTTCCCCTCCCCTTCGGCTTCCTCACCGGAGGGGAAGTTCGGACGTCGAGTCCCTTCTGCGGCACGATTTTTCACACTACATAGAAAGATAAAATTGAGCCGTTGTCTGGAGGAACATTCTAGCCGCCGGCTGCTCTAATCGCTAGTTTTTCGTGTTTTTTCGATCGCTACTAGACGAATGTCGGAGCGGAAAACAATCCAAGGACCGCGTGCGGTCTTTCCTTCCTCTTCATCGTAACTCCTTACTTTCACATACACTCAAATGCACTACACTACCACACACAGTCGGATGCTTCGAGTTTGTCCCGGCTGCGCCGGTTCCCTGCTGGTGGGAGATACCTGGTTGGGGACAATTCTGCAAACCGACCTGCATTTCAGCGCCGGATCTTGGCATACTGAAGATCAGTGCCACCATCCGCGACAAAAATCTGCACTATACTTATTGGAATAATGACAAATATTTGACGCACCTGGAATCTACAATCAAACCACATTCCTAATATCAAAATAAATATTGGAACATTTTGAAATATCACAAAACCTAAATACATTGAAAAATAACACAAAGAACACTTCAAAAATTTTAAAAGTGCATGACCTACATCAGTGATCTCGCTAATGAAAAAATAACTGTACAAGTACGCATATGCATACCAAAACAATGATGCAATTCAATAATTTCCCTGGAATGGAAAATATGTGCATACGCATATTTGCTTGGATTGTTTGGCAAATATTGCGAATGTATTTCAAGCCTGTCTCCCCCTAGCATTGCTGTGTTTGTGAATTGAGTAATTGCCGATGGAACACGAAGTTATTTCTAATTATCACTTGCTTCACTCTCATTTGATTGCGTTCAATCGTTGTTTACGAATCGCGTTCCCTTATTTGCTATCAGTTTTAAATTACTGTAAAATAAGTTTGAACTTCTTCGTGTAATATTTACTTTATTTCTGTCAGTTCCGAATTCCGTAGGATATGATATGAATATTAAATTTTATTTTAATTAATGGTTAGAGAAAACAAGAGTGAAAGAGAAGAGGATAAACAAATAGTGAGACACAAAAAGAAAAAAAAATTGACATGAGAGAAGAAGGATGAAGAGAGATGAAGAGAAGATGATGAGAGAAAGAAAGAAAAGTTGGAGAGGAAAGGAAGATATGAGGAGAGGGAAGAACAGAGGAAAGGGCTGAAATGAGAGTAATGTGATGAGGCAGAGGGAGACAGAGACAGAGATAGATAGATAGATAGAGAGAGAGAGAGAGAGAGAGAGAGAGAGAGAGAGAGAGAGAGAGAGAGAGAGAGAGAGAAAGAGAGGCAATTAAGTGAGAGATGGAAAGAGAGAAAGTAGAATTGGGAAGTATTCATTGATTGATTGATAATTTTACATAATATAATAATTGCAGTAATTAAACAAAAGCTCTCCGTAACAATGGGACATTATCGTGTGCGCCGCCGCGTCGTTCCGCCTTGATCGGGCGCTGAGCCTCGCGCCAGCCGCCCTCCGCCGCCTCCGCGAAGGCGCTTTGAGTCGGGTGAAATTGCCTCGCCGCAGCCGCCTTGCTGAGGTGAGACGCCGAGGCGGAGGCGCCTCAGCTGGCTCAGGGGCGGCGCGGCGCGTGCATCCGTTCGGGTGTTTTCAGCCCTCCCCCTCCCCCACCCCCTCCGGCAGCGCGGTTAACAGCCAATAAGATCACTCATTATTTACGTGGCTGTTTGGGAGCCCGTCCTAGCCTAAGATGTAAACTTTGAGGCCTACGGCCTATCACATCTCGGACGTGTCTCATTGTGCCCTGAGAAAGGCTACGACATGGCGGCAGAAACGTTGACATCTCCGCCGAGGACGCGACGTCTCTCGAACCAAGTAGATGCTGACTCTGGCTGCGAAAAAAAATCCTAAGGCATTCTTGATCTCTTATTTATCTCAGAATGGTAAATACGTGAAGAATATTTATAAACTGTTAAAAGGCTCTATTTACGTATTATAAATGTATTTATTTAATTTGATTTTGAAAATGATATACAAATGTCGAAACACTTTCGTACATTAAGTAGTGTACATATATTGCTGATCTTAATCTTTACTATTAGTTAACAGGTTATAAAAGTAGACATATTTATGACATGATTCAATATTTACAATGTAATTGTGGTAAAAGGGATTGATTGCCAAATTTTTCCGAATCACAAATTCGCTATGTATAAAATAAATTTTTGCCGATGACTGATTTGGTGCCGCCACTGATCGGCATCTTGCTGCCATTTTCTCAACCTCTGTAACCTTCAAACTGATATTAAAACGGTAAAAAGTGGCTAAGATTTGATTAAAATGGAACTGTTGTTTTTTGTTAGCGTTACTTATTTTTGGTTAACTTATTGTTGAACCTTTCATACCGTATATTCTAAACTGCCTCTAAATTACTAATTACGCCAATACCCGTAATTTGGGAAAGATTTTTTTTTCATTTTCTTACTTGTTTAGGTAACCTTAAGCTACTCTTTTTCCTTGTTATTTGAAAACGTGACATTTCAACTCACCACAGACATGTGTTATTCATTATTTACAATTTGAGATTATTACAAGAGACTTTTCAAAAACAGAAAATTTATGGAAAATGTACTCGGATAATTGCCATTAACGAAATTTAAAGCGCTATTATATCTGAAAGTACAGTTATCGAAATAGACTACTCGAATGGTTGAGTTCGAATGTACGGCAACCGCAACTGACTAAAGAAAAGTAGTCGATCTGTATTTTAGGAAGTTTTTAGCACACACCAAAACCTCTGACATTTCACCCTTAAAATAATATTTTCAGTCACCTAGTGAGTGCGGAGTATACGACTTACGTGCACCCGGCAAAACAACAATAGAGAGACGTCACGTGCTCTCGGAAAACGACGCAGCGGAGAGGAGCGAAGAAGCTGGAAAAGTTATTCCGAGGCACCATCTTCGTCGCCGGCGCCGCCTCCTCGTCTCGCTCCCACAATGACACGAAATAACCGAGAAGGCGCGTAAAAAAATAAAATGTTACAACGGCTTGTTACGTCATGACACTCTCATATGGAACCATTTGGATGATTAACTGTGATATAGTACATTTCGGAATGAAATTTAACTATAATGGTTACATTGTTTATTTTTCTGATGAGCTAACATTTTAGGTCATTTTATGATGGAATGACGGCGATAGATCTTTAATATAATTATTTGATATATTTTATAAAAAAACACTTTATACAGAATTGAATCTTACTTGGTCTAGTACATACTTTTACGCATATAAGCGAGGTTTATTTGAGGGTAACTTTCAGATTAGAGCCACAACAGTGAGTTATAACTACTAAAGCATTCATTTTGTATTATTTAATTAACGTACTTCAATATTATTCTGCCAATAAAAAAGTGCCTGCTGTAAGCTCGCCCAGAATGCGCACCTCGCGCTTTTCGGACGGTTCCGAGCCAGTGCGCGCTGCCGCTGCCTGCGGAGGCTTCCTTAACAGGATCGCAGGCATGCGTGGGCGGCCTTTCATGTCTCCTCTCCGGCATATTTATCGGCCTTCTCCACGCGCCCCCCGCCCTTTGACGCTCAGAAATTACAGATTGTCTCTTTTTGATCGCTTTGTAGTAAGGTCTCCGAAAGAATTCCCGAAAAAAAAGAGAATAAAAAAGAACGGAAATAACGAGAGCGCTGAAGCCGGGAGGGAGGGAGTGTGGGGGGTAATGGCATTTTCCGAGGCGTGGATCCCGCTCGTGATGTGCCCGGCCCCCTGCAAACATCTTGCGGAAACATTTCTGTTTGGAGGCGAAGCGGCGAGTCTAGGCGCGGTGACCTGAGTGATAGTCGGAGTGCTGGAGGGTCTGGCAAGCGACACGCTGGTGACCTGCTTTGTTAGAATGTGTGACGTATTTCATACGTCACACATTCTAACTGGCGTATTTGAAATGTGTCATAACGTAAAAAATAAATTGATATAGAAAAAATGTTGGTAACACGATGTAATGATATTATCAGATATCAATACTTGCCCACAATGCCTCATAGAGATTAATTTTAAAAGTACAAACCATTTCTAAAAGTCTGTGTTCTATATGTACTTTTGGAACTTTTATTTTACTAAAATTGTTTCTAATTTAACAAACTTAACTTATTAGACATTAACTTACTAGACAATACTGACACCACCAGACGACTAAAACGATATCATACTTTAGACCTGACATATCGACTATAAATTGTTGTTAATCTAAAAAAATGTAATATTTGGTCAATTGACCTTACTCCTTTCATGTTATTCCAATTGTATATTATTTTGCCAAATGTTTATACCGAAACAAATTGCAAATTAAAATATTATTATAAAAAAAATTAACAAAGGAGGGATTGGTACAGAACAATGGATAGTCATCATTGTTTTAACAAGTATCTACTACGTGTACTGATAAAGCCAATTATCAAGGGCATTTCATTTAGAATTTTTTGTCAATTTCTCTTTGCCAAACTCTTATCACGGAATCCACAAAAATAAAAAAATAATTTGAAACAGAACTAGGAAACAATCCAATATCCAGGCTACGACACGTCACTTGGATATTGGATTCTTATACTGTATAGCTATCTGCGATATCTATGCCATGATATTATGGAATTTCGGAGGCGGCGATACCGCTACTGCTGGTATTGAAATATGTATCAATATGTCATCGACTTACGGTGCATGCAGCGCCCACGTGTGCTGCGGAGACTTGCTGCGCTGGAGAACGTCGCTTGAAGCCGTTGGCTCCAGACGCAGCAAAGAATTTGGGAGCGACGTGGCTCCATTCCCGAAGTTTCCGCGCGCGCACGAGAATTCTCGCAGACGCCAAATGAAAGGAAGAAATTCTAACGGCAAGTTTTTATTTGAATTGCGGCTGTCAGAACTGGCATTGGCACATTGTTGGAATTTCAATGTAATTTCTGACGGTTTCTGAAGACGTGAACTACTTCGTGTGCTTTGCTAAAAGTGATGACTCTTTGAATGTGGTGTTTTGATCATGTTTGCTTATTTAGTACATGTTTTATTTTCATTTTAAAAATGGAAAAACTTCTTTAACTCAAAACTACTAACAGATTTTAATTCATCTTCAGCTGACGATACGTATTTTTGTTTCAGTTCCCTATTGATGCAACCATTAATATGTTGAAATAATTAATTTCTTGCTGATAGTAATTATCGTAATAGTATTTATTATTATAGTGATAAAATTATTCCCCAAAACGTTAATACATATTAATGTACCTTTAATTATAAAGGAAACAATTTATTTAATTTGTATGTATTAGATAACATTTTATATCCTACGGGAATCATAAATGCATCTCATTTAAAACACTGTGTTTTCACATTCATTTCAATGTCAACTAAATCCTATTATAAAATTTTTAAAGTAAAAATATATTAATATTATTTGCTCTACAGAAAATTCTTTGTACTTCAGACGTAATGATGTTTGTTGATACTGTTAATTTAATACACTCGGTAACTTTATTATTACTTGTGAAATTACTTCGAGGAGAATTTTGAAGAAGGTATGCACACATTATCTTGTTTGCCTGAGGATCTCTCGTGTCAGCTGCGCACTCAACAACTCTTTAACTTGGCGCGCCCTCTCCTCAGCTCAGGCTGAGACGCAACTGGCTTACACTTAATGCAATCTCATAATAGAGAGTTCGGAAGACGCAAGCCCTCCACGAGATTACCGGCACTTCGCCACGGGGCTTAGGGCCTTCTTACGTGCTCCCTATAAAACATCCTTTATCTGGCGGAGCCTGTCGCCCACCCATCCTTTCGCTCCGCCCTCGCTTCCCCCTTCGCCTTGGCTGCCTCACGCTGTTCCCAAAAAAAGGTATCGAAGGCAACCTAAGCAAATAAATTGGGGACCAAACAATCCCTTTCCTCGCGAAACTTACTTTCTAATTCTACGTGTAAATTGGGGACCAAACCAACTCCGATAAGGAAAAGGTCTGATTGAGCGCGCGTTAAAGTGGCCACCGCCGCCGTGCTGCTATTCAGCTTTTTCTTGTGTCTTATTGACAACATCCTAGACTCGCTTCCATGTCTAAATGAAAAGCAAAGAAAGCACTACAAGTGTGTTCGAATTTCATGTACATAAATTTAGAATATTAGCAAAGAGAAAGAAAGAATATGAAAGTGTCAAGATAAACAGAATTCATTTAATGAACGAATGATTCAATTGAATGAAAACAAACTTTAACCAAACCAGAAACCGGGTAAAGAAGTATAGAAATTCGAAAGAAATATGTCAGTCCTAAGAGTGCAAAATTGGGTATGGAGTTGAGCTTTAAAAATAATGGGCATGAAAATATTCTTCGAAAACCTTTACCTGTCATCTTCCACTTTTACCTGGAAGGGGACGAGGTAGTTGGCCCACAATTTACGTAAACCCTTCTCTGGGACGGTCCTCAATTTAGAATGGGTTAAACTCTTATTTTCCTTCTGATGCCAATTTATCTACGCTGACAAACACGTACCAAAATGCATAAGTAAACGAAATGACAAAATCAGTGATGTACAGCAAAATGCTTTGGTTCAAAACGTTCGCTCGCAAACGCCGCAACGGCCGCGAAACGCTCGTTCAAAAGAAAAATAAATTATTTACGAAATGAAGCAGCCGATTGTTTTTGAAGATGGATGTAAAAAATTCCATCTCTAGTCATAGGCTAATAATACAATACAACAACATGCCATTTTTTATGAAAATCCATGGCCACTCGTTATGAAAATCAATTCATCCATTCCATTCGTAAAATAAAACAGAGTGTAAAAAAATTAAATAAACTTCAATATGGATCGATGTTGCAGTAAAATTCTTGTGCATATATAAAGATAAAATATAAATGATTTCATGATAACAAACGTTTAGAATAAACTGATGCTGGAAGAAAACAGAATGGACAAGAATAACATCTCATGTTGCTTTTCGTTCTTTAATGCTGTACTTGTGCAGCTGAATCCCTTTATTGCCGAAAGCCCAACGATCTGTACTTCTGCCATGAACGTAGTTGAAAATCTTGTAGCAAAGACGCTACGTGTACTTTTGTTTGCATTTTGACGCACCTCACACAGGTGTGATTTTGCACTACTCGTTGTTAGGCCTTTCCAATCCGTGCGAAGCGGTTTAACGCTGTGATGGCGGGGGTGGCCACGGCTACAGAGGCAAAGTCGTGCGAGAATTCATGGAGGGCATGTCTGAGGTGTCGCTGTTGCCTGAGTTGTCAGATCGGCAGATATCTTCCAAGAGGCGCCGACCCTGTAATGTACGTCTCGTGCGAAAGGGTCAGATTACGAGGGCTAGCAGAGGAAAGGAGGTGTTACCGCTGTTCTAAAAGTTTCGACACCTCCTTAAGATCTACTGGGTTCTGAACAAAAAGAAACTTTTACGAGGAAACTAAGTATAATGTCTCTCATATTGATGCTATACTGCCTTCAAATATACAACTTTTTATTCATCGGAAAACTAATAATCGAGGTGAAAAAATGAAAACTATCCTGAAGTACTCAATTTTGATCTCTCGCATGCATTTAAATACCCGAAAAACGATCACAGAATTCTCATTTGAAGTTGAGCCGATCACGATAGTCTTTCTTGTCGCGATATTTCCGAGAATAGAAGTTCTTAAAGTTTGGAGCTCTAAAGGAAGAAAGTATTTATTGCATTTTACAGCGGCGAATCTTAATGGGGAAACTTGTATATAAATCCTATTTAGCATTCGGAAGTTGCGATTGCATCGCAGTAACAGACTTTTAGTACTCGGACGATCAGCAACATAGAATATTTGTTCTATCGTGGATTCGAGAAATTCTATTTTTGAAATTAATACATAGATTTAAAAATGTCAGGTTGTGAAATGTTTTTTTGAGTATCAACAATAGAATGAAAACTTTCGAGGAAATCCGTAAAGTAAGTAATATTGCTGATAATTTAGCTTTTGGTTTTCTTTAGAAAGAATAATGGTTATAGAAACGGAAGTAGTTTTCTTTGCATATGATACCAATATTCTTTGCAATAAAAAAATCGTAAATAGTACAATATCTTATATTTAAAATTGATTCCGTAATAACAAATTAATAGTAAATGAAAAGAAAACGTTTCAATGCAGTTTTCCATTTCAAATAAACAGTTCTGTACTCCAATGAAAATGAACGGTATGCTGTTAAGGTAACAAAATTTTAAGGTTTTTCAACTCAGTCAATCCTTAAATGGAACATCAATTTAAATGAATTGAACACTAAATTAGTTCTTTATACTACGCTTTCAGAATTATTTCAAATTCAGTCAGTCATACTGCTCGTTTTGTATATTTCGCAAATGTTAATTTCCGTCTGTGATATGGCATAATATTCTCGGTAAATACATTTTATAGCTCCCAGACTTTTAGATTAAAAAATAATTGTACGAATATTAAGCAAATACCACCCACGTGGTTCTTGTAAGCTACTCTTTATTAATCTAAGTATTTTACGATTAGCTTGACTCTTGATATACGAATCAGTTTTTTTTGTCAAAAATGACTAAAAGTGGGAATATATTTTCAGCAAACGCCGATGTCTATAATTACAACACTCGACGTAGTAGTCATATTAATCAGGTGACAATTTGAATAGTCCACTACAAAAAATTCACATACAATACATGTACATTATATTACAACACCTTGCCAGTTGATATTAAACGATTGAATTCGATACAAAAGCTTAAGTCCCTTTTTACTACTGCAAAATTGTTTGTGTACAATTACAGATTATACTCAACATCAGAAAAGAAACGTAATATTAATCTTAACAATGACATTTAATTTATTATATACCATTTGGATTGTGTAATTCTAAATAACCTGTATCAAGTATTGAACTTTAGCTTCTGGGTCAATGATCCCCATCTCGACCAGGTTTTCGTTCAGTTTCCCTGATCCTTGAGCAAATGCTGAAATTATCCCTGTTTTGCTTCTGAACACAATTGCAATTTCAAATTAACTTCTCCCCATAGCACGTTTTGCAGTGTTTTTTACTATTTTTAATGTAAATAAATAAATGAATAATACGTAATTTGCAGTTCAATATATTGAGTAACTTTCAGATCAATTCTTTAGTTTTGTATTATTACTTAAATTTATCAATTCGTGCCTTTTAATAATAAGACGGTATTAACTTATTAATATGTATTGTTAATTACACCACTATATTAATTGCCCAAAATGATAAAACGGATAATGGCATATTGTAGGGTATTTTGAAGTTGATTAATTGTGTAAGTGGTGGAAGTAACTATGAAATGGAAAAATGTATCAGATATATAGCGCAGATAGTACAGCAGCGTTTTAGGTCTAGAAAATAATGTTAGGAATTCCACCTCGTATTTGTAGTTTTGTATAATTTCTCCTGAGGATTTATTTATTCCGCGAATTTTTTTAATTTCATTTAAAATGTTAATTGTTTTGACCTTGTAATTCAAATATCTTGATTCTTTGAGAATAGTAACTTAGTCATTTGTTTATTGATTATAAAAGTTGATTGTCATTTCATGCCAGTAATTTTCCTTGAACGATAACTGACAATGAGGACGACTTATCTCTAACGATTTCACTAGAGGTTAATTTCCAATTAAGAGAAAGATATGTAATCATTTACACTACGTGGTTTTCCTTTCAGTGTAATTAAAAAAAACTCCTTTACAAAATAATGTTAAGTGGTGCTACTTCTGTTCACTAGTTTCTTTATACATTGTCTTCAAATTTCTTGATGGTTACTTCTTGAAAGTACTGAACTTGGAAATCTTTTGCACTTTCACACAAGTTCATTTTCTTTTCTCTATGTTTATCTATCTATGCCCTTTGTACTATATTCAGTTGTATTTATTAAGTTTTTTAAACATTGCTTGATGTTTTATGTGTAAAACATTACTTCCAGTCAGAATTATAGTTCATTAATGTCAATTTGTATGAACGCATAGAAGGTATTGGACGAGGTTGAGAGACACAGAGACGAGAGAGCATTTGTACAGCTTAAAACTGCCAAACATGCCGTGATATTAAAACGAAATTCCTGCCCTACAGTGTTAGAAACGTTCGGCGTTTTAAAAAAGTTTCTCATGTCTGTCTTTTTCTACTCCCACTTTAACGGACCTAATCTCACTTACAATGTGTTTCGGCATCTTGCGGTTTGCGCGTCCTGGGAACCGCATACTACTTGCCTTTGAACTAGCCTACTGTTCCCGAACTTTCTTTTCTAGTTACCTTTACGTAGAGTAATTAGTAGGACTCGGAACTTGGTTTACCAAGTTGGAGGCATTTTATCTATGTTTATTTTTATCAGATACATATATTGTGTTTTAGCTTCTCCTACATCACAAGAATAGTATTTCTGTCGTAACAAATGGAATTAATGAAATTACCCAATGACATAACGAAAGTAAAATTAGTTAAGGTTAATAAGATTAATGTTAAGTGAAAGTTAATGAAGTAATAAAAAGATCAAAATGTATTATCGACACATGTTCAAATATTTTCTGTATTTGTTATAAAAATTAAAAAGAAGATTAATTTCTTTATATTTTTCACAATACTGTAAAAATATATTCTAAAATGCTAGGTACTTTACAAGTTTTGTACTTCATTTTTGGGGTCAATGATTCCTGTTTCGATGAGAGTTTTCGTCGAAATTCGTCCGATCCATCGAGGAAAATGCAAGAGACCACCTTGCTTTGCTTGTGGACATAAAGATACTTTCACTGCGAGATTATTTTATTGAGCTTTCTTGCTCCTTGTTATGGCAGAAGTAATGCTGCGATGGGAGCCTAGTTTATCAGCAGCGTTTCCTATTACTGTAGAGGGAAAGTGTGGATTACAAATGTTACCAAAATTGTTCATTGGTACATTCATAATTTAACTAACAACAGCAAGAGAGACGCAGAGGGATTCTGGAGCATAAGAAAACACATCTTTCTCCCATTTGTCACATAGTTTTTACTGTTTTTTGAGAATAAATAAAATTAAGAGCGTTTTAATTTCTTTTCGAATTAAACAATTCAGTATAATAGAAGTTTCAAGTTTTCTACTTCAATTTAGTTCATTCAAAAATGTAAACTGCTTAATTCCGGAGGACATTTGTATTGCTTTATCGTATGCTAAGTTGATCAATTTGATTACATCACATTGCCACGTGACAGCATCATTCTTCCAAGAAAATTATTTCGTAATGAAAATATATATTTCAGGAATGTATGATATTACTTTACACTTAATTGTGAAAAGTGAACTCAACGTTTGACAAACCGGGTGTGACGTATTTAAATGCGAAAATGAATAACCGTTTATTCATTTAAAAAAAATTCAAACGAGTTTTATCTTATTCCAAGTAAGAGTCGTGGACACCAGAAACTTTCTTCGTAACGCGGACGTAAAATTTGCTGACGAAACGCACTGCGTCCAGAAATCAGACTCGCTTCTGGAAAAATCCGCCGGTTGATGCGAAGCGAGACCAAGCAGCATCGCGTCCCAGGAAACGTCTGGGGCTTGTTCAAAAGAAGGGAAACCCGGACGCGGCCCCGCAGGGCGGCGGTTGGTGACGCGCGACGGGAGTGGCTCCCGTGCGGCAGAAAGGCGTTGCGCAACGGGCGACTTCGCCCCGGGAGCCCCGGGCCGCGCGTTGGGACGCGTCGGGACGCGTAGCTTGGCGTGGCGTCGGCGGAAGCGCCGGCCGCAAGTGGCGACCGCTGACCGCCGGCCGCGCAGCCACCTTCTTGTACTTGTGCTCCTGGCGGCGCGCGCGCGGCCGCAGACGGGTCCAAGGCGTTCGGCGAGATGCTTCACCTCGCGTCGTTGTGCGTTGTGTCTCTGGCGGCGGCGGCGGCGGGCGCGGCGCTGCCGCAGCCCGACTTCGCGCGCTACCTGGCCAACGACTCGCTCGTCGGCCGGCCCGTGCCCTGCACCGAGGCCGAGAAGGAGTGTCTGCGCTACAACCGCGTCCTGTACAAGCGCCACTGCTACCCACTGGGCCACGGCCCCCGCGACTGCCAGCTGTTCGTGGACCGGCAAGAGCTGGAGTTCGAGAGCGGCCACGTGCGCGGGGCGTGCCGGCCCAAGCACGTGTGCCCCGACGGCAGGATGCGCATGGCGTTCGACGGGCAGTGCCTGCGCTACAAGGACGTCGTGAAGATCTGCCGCGGCGCCGACGACCTGGAGTTCGCGCCGCACCTGTTCGGGGACACGGAGTGCGTGCGGGCGGGCTTCTCGCCGCCGCCGCCGGCCTACGTGGCGCAGCCCGAGGAGGCCGGGCGCTGCGTGTTGCCCAACCTGCGCCACGACCTGACGGCGACACGCGCCGACGCCGGGCGCGTGGGGCTGCGCTGCTCGGCCGCGCAGAGCCTGTGCTTCGGCCAGGGCCAGGTGTGGTTCGCGGCGCTGAACGCGTGCGTGCCGCTGCTGGAGCGCGGGCCGTGCGCGGAGGGCGAGCGCGTGGTGATCGCGCTGGGCGAGGTGCGCGGCCGCCGCAAGATGTCGGTGGAGTGCCGGCCCGTCAACCCGTGCAAGCCGCACCAGCGCCTCATGGCCTTCGACGGGCAGTGCTACGACCTGTCCAAGATCCGCACCGTGCTGTGCCCGTCGGGCGTGCTGCTACCCAACGCCTTCGGCCAGTTCTCCTGCTCGGGGCTCAAGGACATGTACAAGCACGTGATCGCGCTGGAGAGCGCGCGCGCCGAGTCGTGCGAGATCGTGCACAAGGTGTCGCACTCGCTGGCCGGGCCCGGGATGCAGGTGCAGCCGGACTGCTCGCTGACCGACGCGGGCGAGTGCGCGCGGGCCGTCAACGACTTGCTGCGCGCCTCCCCCGGCTCCCCCAACGACGTACCCGTGCCGCACTGAACCGTTCGCTTTTGATACGAGCAGAACGAGACGTGCCACGCAGTCCGAAGCCCAACGCAGTTCTGCTCCGTGTGGCCACTTCCTCGAAAGTAAACACCGCTAACATGCATTTCATGCACAAGATGAACTGGAACGTCTCTCCTAGGGACATCATCATTTTTAACTTTTGTCAAATATAAATTATTTCAATTCAGCATTAAATGCGCCGTGTTTGTGCAAATGTTTGCGAAAATGTATTTGAATATTAGAATAATGTATGTTTGTGTAAGTATGTATTTCTGTCACAAATAAAGTATGTTATTATAAATATCAATTTATGTCCATTACAATAATTACAACTTCTGGTGGCCCGCACATTTATACAAATAGATGTAGTGTGTTTGAATTGGGCGGCGCGCACACTAGAAACCCATACCCGCCAGGATTGCCGACGATGACGTAAGCCGGCGTGGCGTGCGCCTCGACAAGTGAGCCGACGTCAAGTTACGGCGCTTGTTCACTAATAACGGCGCGCCCGCGTTCGCAAATGCGTCGAAGAGCAGCTGCGAGGGCAAAGCGGTGTCCACGCATGACGGTAAGAATCTAGTGATTCTGCAAGGGATCTGTATAAGCGTAGTACGCGTATAACATAAGCGTAGCAGATACACGTTTCAACTTCTGGAATATGCTAGAGATATTCAATTTTCATTCAGTGTTTTACGTCTATGACGCATCAACTGCTATGGTAATTAGTCCACTTTTTTCGTATGGTTAGTGAGATCGGGCGCCAACCTACGCGCCTGTTTCGGGGGAGAGCATCCTGATACCTCCCTCAGTGGAAGAGTACCGCCACAGTAGTGAGAAAATCTATGTTCCCAACTTGGGCTCGTGAAATGTAGTATACGAACGGATGCGTTTTTAAAACTGATACTTTCAGGTAATATTAACTACACAACTTCTACAGCAGGAAGTAGACCTCTTGGGCAGACATTTCTTTAACGGTCGCGAGAGATTTGAGTTAGAGGCTTCATCTCAACAATGCTTTGTATTTTAAGCACATTAATGCCTACAACGGATTTCCTTTTCTTGAAAGGCAGGTAAAGAAACTGTTCAAAGGTACTGTGAATTCCATAAGTATAAGACAATATTACTTTATTTTCCAGTTACCAGAAATAGGCTGCGGACGAGTACAGCCCCCGTGCGATTAGTGAAGGGTTAACAAAACAAAGGTGGCCACCCTGAGAGCCCGTTGGCAGTTGCGACGTCGTCCAGGTACGAGCAACCATTTGTTTGGGTCTAAAAATGAATGGCAAGAGCTTAAGAAGATCATTCTGTCCCGTTAGACCGAGCCGCTTTGAGGTGGCAGATAATAAGCTAAAGAAATTTAACCATCAGATGCAGTTGGGATGTGTCCAGTCACAGAAGCACCTATTCGACAATTGCTCAAATGGGCGGAAGCAATACACAACATCATTTCCAAAGAACACACCCTAATTGAATTGCAATTTCATAAAATCAACTATGAGCTGAGATGCGAGACTTAACATTAACGTACATTGCGCGCAAGGAAAACTCTTCGAAAACTTAGAAGTTAGAAAAAACTGAACAGGTGTAGATATAATATATTTTCATTTGTTAATAGAACAATACAATATTGAAACAATATATCCATATCAGAGCTGAGGCCTATTCACAGAATATCTAAATCATAAAATAAATTAAATAATTCAAATATATTTACGTAATAATTCATTTATGTCGTATAACATATATATATATATATATATATATATATATATATATATATATATATATATATAGTAAAACATTTTATACGTTGAATATTGTGTGCGTACACGTGAGTATATGTGTGGGGTTTGGGTATTATTGTTGCGTGAGACATGTAGCAAGTTAGTGTAGTGGGGTTTGTGTGGTGCACATGTGCTGTGTGTGGGTGCGCTTGTGATGAGTGTTGTAGGATGTGCGTCGCGTCAGTTTTTGGGCCAGGTATTGTGAGTTTTGTATTACGGCACTCGTGTGTGTTTGTGTGCCTATTTGTTAACTTTGATATTAAAAATTATTTACATTTAAGTGCTATTTCACAACGTATAGAATGTCAGGTCTAGATCTTTAAAGGAAATTCAGTAGTCGTGTCATTTATTATATTGTTGTTTTTGTGGAAATTTATGGCCTGTAATTTGAACAAATACCACCGGACTTGTGTATTTCAAGTACTAAAATATTATTCGTGTTATTATGATTTTATTATTAATACTTTATTGTTTATTAAGTTGTATTTTATAATTTAACAGTTTAGAGAGAAAAAAGTTAATTATATTTTCATTTGATTTTAATGCATAAAACATTGGGTATTTTTGGAGAATGAGAAACATCATTAACACGTGTCCTAAATAATTGTGGTGATATGTGATATTTATTGGACAAAATTAATTATCTTTAAATAAAACATTTAATTGGAAAATATATTACTTTCTGGCAAATTATATTGTCTGTCTCCCAATATTTATCTATCTATACTATAATGTTTGACATATATTTTGATTTGTATGTCAGATATGATTTTAAAATTATTTGGAGTTATTATGAAAATTGAAATCAACTGCAAATTTGAGTGTTTTAAATATTGTACAGAGCATGATCAGATAGATTGGAGATGTTAGAATTTTAGCTTCGTTATCTTATTTTCATTGTATTCTGGTCTTTTAAATTACAGCCGCACCTAAAATCATGAAAAATACACAATGATGAGAAAATGGAAGAAATATAATGTATGTCAGTGAGAAAAATATAATTTCAAATCATCTACCGGTAACATTTTACACAGAAAATTGATGAGTAAACTTTTCTTCCGAAATAATGCGAATTCATTAATTGTGAAGAAAATATTTTCATTTGAAAAACCTGAAAATTATAGAATCTAATTTTCATTTTAGCTACCGCAATTCAAGAGATGTGGGGAGCCGACATTTGGCCTTGCTGTCAGTCGCGGATGGTGGTTTCCGTGGTGTTCCAGCACTTCCTGCTGATTACTGAGCTACTTCCTCTCTTCCTGAAAGAGAGATTGCTAACTTCCACTTTTCCTACTAAGAATGTTCTATCATCAATGAGCTATTTGGCACGTTAATATTATTGTAAAATTTCATTTAATTTGCTAATCGACCGTTAGGATATATCAAATATGCATGATAAACGCTGTATAAGTATCAGTGTGCGTATAATTGATTGTAATTAAGATAATTTACTGTACAATTCAGTACAGTCGGTGTTGCCAGTCGCAGCAATGAGCAAGATGTCATTATTCTACATTAAATTACAGAAGTCGTCATAAGTAACGAAAGATTCCGTGCGCATTTTAATAATTTCGAATCGTGTGACAAAATATGAAATGAAATGGTTCAAATTTTTAAAAATTATTATTATTCAATTTTTTGGTAAAATGTTGACGCCCCCTGAAAGTGCCGCCCGCACTACGCTACGCCACTGCGTACATTCAATAATTAATTATTCTTGTGTATAGACACAGACATGATGATTCTGTTTGCAGAGTTATTTTCAGTAAGCTTGACTGATCCATTAAGTTCTATGAGGTAAAATGATGAGAGATACGTAACATTTACAGAATAAGAAAGATATTTAGAGCTTAAGAACCTATATTACTAATTTCTAAAGTGTGCAGAAATTGAAAGAAAAGTAAGCGACTCCTGCCATGAGAAAGGTGTGTACGGATGGTTTTGTAAGATACGAAGAAAAATTAGGGAAAAATCTGAAAACTGTGGAATAGTTTTGTTTTTGACTGAGAAATGCAAATATTTTATAGAGTTAGTCCGCGATTTATTATGCTGCACGTACCGACTGAAATCTCGTACTTAATGTATCACTACTTACGACAGAGCTGACGTCATGTGACAGCATGTCTCCAAGGAAGATGCTGCCCGCCTTTGAATTTTGCTATACAGGTTTTGCGTTAGAGGGCAGCATTTTTTATATTCTTGGTGCGTTGAGGATTGTTATAAAATATACACAACGCGCTGACAAAAGCTCTGCGCACCGAGCGCCGAGCGGGGCGCTAGTGTTGCATTCATGCAGCTACTGAGGCCTCCCCCCTCCCTCGTGCTTCTTCACCACCCATCGAACGGTGGGGGACTGCCTGGCGCTCGTGATGCCTACGTACTTTTTGTTGATAGCACTGTCATCAGTATGAAGCCACTGCGGAGAAACTTTCCAAGCGCACTGTACTATACTGGATTGTGTAATTGTAGTAGTTCTGAAGACTTTTTATGTTAAAATATTTAATATAATATAACGTTATGTGATAGTATTTTATTTGTTCTTGAGCAGTGTTCATGCTACTTTTTGGAAAATAACTTCGTTTGGTTTTGCTCAGGAGAATTTTTGATACTACAGGCCAATAATAGATAATGCAATTATTTTCTGAAGAATTATATTTGGTTAGGTTCTGTAGATAATTGTAAATTACTGCGTTCCTTTCTTCACAGCTGATAACCCCCAGTCGTAATTTATTTGTATAGGAAAAGTAGAAAGTCCTAAACTATTCTGAAATGTAATATCGATATTGGTGACTTGTTTCCATAAAACGCTGATACCTACCCTGACCCAGTATCCTGTTACGAAGACGCGAGAAACGCAACTTGCACAAAATACGGCGTAGCGGCACCACTTCGTCTGATACAGTGGCCGCTATTATGCTTCTTATCACGAAAGATTAAACAAGGTGACTGAGTCGGCCATCGGCCGTGGCTGACGTCGGGGCATCGCCGATAACGTATCTCCCGCCCTCGTGAGCGCCCCGCCGCGCCGCGCCGCGCCTCGCCCCGCGCCGGAGGGCCCCGCAGGCGCCCGAAGCGCTCTCATTTCGCGCTGCACACGCTGCACGGGCTGCACGGACGCGGCGCTCGCCCACCATTGGCCGCTTGGGGGCGGAGCGTGTGGGTTAATTTCATACACTGCAAACGACGCGCAATTTGTTAGAGTGTCCATGCCGTGGAGATACGAGCTGTAACGCTCCGATCTAGAGACACAGCAGATGTTTCATTCTGTTAATATGGTGAGTTGCTGCTGTTGCGTAGTTTTTCTTGTTGTGTGAATGTTAATTCCTTTTTTTTTAATATCATGATAAATTTCTTGTCCTTTAGTTTGTTGATACGGAAAGACGTTACCGACAAAGGATACTACCATGCAACGATAACGCTTCCTGGACTGCTATCGTGGGTTTTAACATTTCCTCGCCTGACTAGTTGCCATTGTGACTTCATGGCCAAGACAGTGCGAAATAGGAGTACTTTTGCCATTGGTGCCACATATTCAGGGCTCTGTCAGAAACAATATGACTGAAAATTTCAAATATTTTATTTTAAGGTAAGAAATTTGTTTTCATGATTGATTGAGCCTTCTAAAAAAGCTGTATTTTATTTATAATTTCGCCTATACTAACTATACGAACATATTGCTTGCAGTTTCACATGATTTTTGTTCGAACATGTGTATATGGCGTATTGCAATAAATTCATTAATATTATCCAGATTATGTATCATACAAATATTATCCTGATGATATTTCATTCATGGAATATAAGTCTACGGGAATAACTATATACACGATGAAAATCAAATGTGTATTTAAGAGACTGCCTGCAGGAAAACTATTTATTTCCAATCGCATGAAATACTTTTTCCTTCGCAAGCTTCATAGCTTCATCCGTCAATAACACATGCGTGCATTGTCCTAAATAAACGGTTAGCTAGCCGCTGTAAATAGCTTGTGTGCTCTTCCTCAGCGGCCCGCGCGCGGCGCTGGCCTGAGTCAGAGCGGGCGGCGAGCGGCGAGCGCCGAGCCACAGGAAATGATGCCTTCGCGGGGCGGCCACGCGCCGCGTGCGCCGCATTGCGTGCGCAGCATGGGCGAGCGGCGGCCGCCCGTGCGCGCGTGCCTGCTGCTCCTCGCCGCGCTCTTGCCGGCGCTGGCCGCCGCCCAGCCCGTGGGCGCGGACCGGTCTCAGGAAGAGGAGTTGCCGGCGGACCGCTACTTCGCCAACGACTCGCTGCTGGAGCAGCCCGTCTCGTGCAGCGACGAGGAGAAGGAGTGTCTGCGCTACAACCGCCTGCTGCTGCCGTCGCACGGGCGCTGCTATGCGCTGGGGCAGAAGGTGGGCGGCTGCCGCATCGCCGTCGACCGCTGCCTGTGGGAGCGCGAGGGCCAGCTGCGCGCGGAGTGCGCGCCCACCGACCTCTGCCGGCCGCTCAACGCCAACAAGGTGCGCATGGCGTTCGACGGGCGCTGCCTCAAGACGCGCGAGGTGCTGGGCGCGTGCGGGCCCGGCGCCGTCACCCTCGTGCCGCACTTCTTCGGCGGATGGGAGTGCGCGCGCGCGCCGGGCGTGGCCCCGCCGCCGCCCCCGCGCTACGTCCCGCAGCCCACGCGTCGCGGCCACTGCGCTTTCCCCAACCTGCGCCACGACCGCACGGCCGTGGCCCGCGAGGCGCGGCGCGCGCGCTTCAAGGCGTGCTCGCTGCCGCAGAGCGGGTGCTTCGCGCGCAAGCAGGTGTGGCTGGCGGCGACGCGCCGCTGCGGGGCGCTGCTGGCGCCGTGCGCGCCGGGGCGCTGGGTGGCGCTGAACCGCACCGCGTGGGAGGAGGGGCGGGTGGAGGGGGAGTGCGCGGCGGTGCACCCGTGCGGGGAGGACGCCCGCCTCATGGCGTTCGATCGCAAGTGCTATAAAAAGGACGTGGTGCTGCGGGCGCTGTGCCCCGGAGGCGCCCTGCTGCCCAACGTCTTCGGAGAGATGAACTGCGTCACCAGCGACTACTACCGACACGTCATCGACCTCACCAGCACGCGGCCCGAGGCCTGCGAGATCACGCACGGCGTCTCCTTCTCCGCGGACCCGGTCGCGGCGAACCTCGTGCCCGACTGCGGCCTCAATGAAGGAGGGCGCTGCGACTTCTGAAAGGAATTCCTTTGCGATTAAATGCTTAGGTTGGTAGCGGATTTAAATGTAGGACCGTTACAACTGCTTCTTGTGGAAAAAGTGTTGTGGCTCTGATTATTTTCGTGCGGAAACTTTCGTTTTACCAACACTAGTTGCTTGAGGTACTCTGCAAGGAAATAGTCGTTTAATTTCTGTCAATGTGGCATTTTTCTTGTCGAGATATGTCGCTTACTGATATGTTCTGCTTTTCATTCCGTGCATTCTACGGCTTCATTCAACTCCGGGGAAGCAAAGTACCCTAGTACTCGGGAAGCTTCTAGCTAATTTAAATATTCTAAAGTGTTATAAATAATCTGGAAACCAGTTATTACAAGTTGTTTGTGTACTTTTCTTTCGGAACGATTTATTCATTTATCGTGTAAATAGATGAAATATGATATGTATATAAACCACCTTGTATTGCATACCTAGAGTGAATGTCTAGAACGTTTGTGATAAAGAGTACAAAGCGAATTGTACCCTTGTTTTAGAATAAGTAATTTTATTCTACTTGGGCCATTGACATTTCGTTGGTGTACAAGTGACATATGTCATTTTTTTTATTTCAACCGAGAAAGGTAACGGGAGAAAGGGCTTTGCCCCGAAATGTTGAAGAAACAGTATAGATTTCAATATGAAATTAAATTAATTCGTTATTTTATTATTTTCTCTATTGCACCTGTATTCCGAATTCACAATACAAACATTAAGCATCATTCGGGAATGATTTTAGTCCGAGCGTATACGTTTATTTTATGGCAAAATAATTAAGCTTTATAATCCGTATTTATACAATTTTTAATATTACTTTAATTTCCGAAATATCACTTCATTGTACAAAGTAATGACTTGGGATCAATTTTCTTGGCCATCGACAATTTCTAAAATAAGAACGACACGAAAGATCGATTTCAAGCATGAATAAAATATACTTTCCAACATATTTGTAGAACAATTCGTTTAACTTTAAATTAGAATTAGGATGTATATTCGAGTTTTACAATTAGTTCGTTCCTTTCCTCTGCGAGACAGTTGTTTAGTAAGGATACCTTACCAATCATTCAACGTAAACTAGTATGGCGTATGGCTACTTCTTCATATTGTGATTCGCACAACCGTTTTGAAGAAGTGCCGAGTAAGATCTGCACATAACACGAATAATATATTGTCGACTGTTTGTAGAAAGTAAATGATAAAAGTAGAATGTAACGTATACAGTGGAGTGAATGCATGTTTCTAACGCCTCTAAAGGGGACCACATAAGCTTGGAGCAGTTCGAATGCGCGGGCAAGTAACTTGCTACCGCATTTGTGAACTTCTCATGTAACTTTCAAATAGAAAATGACGGCGATGTTCTAAAATGTATTTCCTTTCAACCCTACTTTGAAATTTGTATCGCACTTTGGGCTGTCAGTAAATATAATTTAGGCAAAATATTATCAGAATTTCGTGAACTAAAAGTTATATTTAGCGTCGTAAAACATCTGTTCTCAGATAAAATCAATCGAAGTTCTTTTTGATGACGTAATAGTTATACTCGCGACTGAATTACTGTGACTTCTTCCAGAAATATTTCCATTCGAAACCACTTCATTCGATTATTCCTTCATTTAAATAAACTTTTAAGCAACTTACATGAAAAACATATTACTAAATTTATTTTATTTATCACAGGACCATTAAATCTATGATAGATTGTATATTGCGAGCTGTATGTGATGTAGAACGATGATACATTCTCTCGTTTCGGACGAAAACGTCTGAATATTATTGTTTTCTATTTTCATCTACCCCGCAATGGCAACAACGTGAATTGTCCTCTTATTGGTAATGTTGACGAGCATCTCCGTCACCATTATTTTGATAATTTAATGCGACTTGAAGGCCAAATGTTAAATGCACAATGCTTACACATTATGGAATGCTTCATGAGTACACTCCTAAGTGTGTACGCAAGATACCTCACAATGCGTAGATGCTGAATTCACTTTTTGTTAGCTCAAATAGGTACATTTATCTTTACATTTTGTTTAGACCATGAGATGTTAATAAAAGTTGCCGAGACAATGGTAATGAGTGAAACAAAGTGTTTCACAATCTTATGACGGTATTTACAATAAAACGTCCATGTAATTTTCAATTTTATTTTTTTATAGCTGCTTATGTATGTTTCGTACATTCTGGGTTCAAATAGGTAGCTTCAGATCACAAATTTCCAGAAATTCTACTCGACATTTTTTTTGACATTAAAAAACCGTTTCACTTAGCTTAGTTGCGGTGTTATGGTATGTTTTCTTAAAACGTGAAGTTTAATAAAACAGATATTCTTTGCGTTTCTGAACGCAAGTTAAATTTGTGATGTGATCGGATTAATAAAACGTTTACAGTTAACGTTTATATATATCTGGCATGTTTTTCATTACACATTAATTAATATAAAAATTTGATTTACAAATTATGTACCTAAATATTTTATTATTTATCAAATGGTTATCAAAATTACAGGCCGCTAATCGTATTTACATTAAACATCTACATAGTTTTACGGGGAGAAGTCTTGAAAAATTGAAAGTGTAACTTTGAACGATATTCTTATTTAGTCATGAATTCTTAATGGTAGATGATCTGTTTTGATCATATTAAATATTTAAAATTCCATGTTCACCAGAATAAATCATTATGTAAAAAACGCAATTTATTTAATTCAATTCTGATATTTTAAATGATTTATCTCTGCAAATACATCATATTGATGGTAATTTTAGTTTCAATCATTCCTTACTCTAAATGTTTTCTGTAGGGTGATTTTCTATATCTTCCGTTCCTCTGAACTCACTTCAGTACAAAGCAATATAAAGACAGCTATTTTTCCTTAAAAGCTAAGAATTTTAAAATGATTGAAAATGTATACATTAAAATTAAAAAGCTGCAAGTTTTGTAAATACAGCTATGAAAGGTTTTGAAGTTTGTACAGTATTAAAACGTGTATTATTTGTAAATAATCTCTATTATTATAATTCTTTCTGCCAAAGTTTATGTATTTTCCATAAAAAAGGTGATTAAATAAAATAAAATTATTTTACTTATCTATTTTTTTGTTATTCTTGTATCATGCACTTGCCGTCCCTGAAGTATAATGAACTATTTCTCGTAATAGAACCGCCAATGTACTTTGGAGGTGGTTGTTTCGCATCTTTCAAAGGAAGTGACAAATCAGATAAAGATAAGCGTATATATATCACTTGTATTTATAAACGTTTTGTGTAATGAGAGAACTGACGTTCTCTTGAATTTAAGGCTTCTTTAAGTAACGGTGTTATAAAAGTGCAGTTGAACCGCCCCTGTCAACCAAATGCAATTGCAATACAAACACCAAATATTTTTACCTTCGTTTTTACTTAGATTTTTACACGTAGGTTTTCAGAAAAAAATATATCCGTTTTTCTGAAAATATAATGACATGTATTCCGACCAAATGGAACTTGCAAAATTATTTGATGTATTAAAGTAAGAATTTTGAAAACTATCGTTAATGGGGATTTAATTTTGTTTAATCAATAATTTTAATAATCTTGAAAATAGTAATTTAAATAAAATGTTTGAATAGTACGATACTACATAGTATTACTACTCAACAATTTTCTTTTTACTGTTTCATTAATATATACTAAATTCTGATTTTTGATGCCGCCCCTAATTTTATATTATACAATTCTAAATATTAGTTAATAAACAAAATCCATAGAAGCAATTTATAATACTAATTGAAGATTCGGAAAACAAAATATCTTTGTCTTTTCCTTTTGTATTATTAATATTGTTATTATTAATATTATTATTATTATTATTATTATTATTATTATTATTATTCCTTGTTCTGAGGCAAACAATATACATATTTTCCTGCAATCATTTTTTAACTTTTTAACTACAGAAATGTAGCAAATATATCGTTGATGTAATATACACAATAATATACACAAAAAATTAGATAATTGTTGCTGTTTAAAATTCTTGTGGTTTGTCGTCCAAACAAAATTAACATAATTCACTCCAACTCTATATCTGTTCCCCCCAACTCTTACTTTCGCTTTTGCAATTTCAGCCATAATCTCCGTCACCTTCTGACATTCTCAAATATATTTCTCACGAGAATTATCTTAATGCTCCATAATCACTCCACTTTCTTAGGTATATGCCATTTCCCATTAAAATACCTGCAAACCCCACATTTGCAGGACCTCAATTAAATCATTGAGCGTGAATGTTGTAATACTCTTTAACTAAAAAAACTAAAAAAACGCTGTCCAGTGAAAGATAAAAAATACAGCTTCACGGTTTGGGACAACGAACAAATATATTTAATCAGTACATTATATCATTCAGTTTGAATATTTATGTTGATTTATTTGGAATTTTTATCATGTCTTAGAAAGTCTGTTTTATTTAAGTTGCGGATCATGGAATGAAGACAGCGTTGCCCTGAGCCCTTCTTGTACATTAATCTTGATTTTATTAACTCATTATCTGAGCTTCTCTATTCTCGCAAAGATCATTATCTTCATTTAGTGATAATCCCTTAGAGAGCCATGTGATCCCAAAAACTACAATAGTAGAGAATAAATATAAATGTGTGACAGTTAATAACATAACCACAGTATTGAGGTCACGCTCTCGAAGCGAAGTCCCTCTTCTAGTATCAGTAATGATCCTCTGCTTTCAACATGTCAGCATATGAGACTGTACATGAGACATAGAAGATATTCGCTAACAGAAATAAGATTTGACAAGATGATAAAATAGATTTGACAAGCCGTTAAAAACTGTTAAAATTCTGGATTCCATGTATAGGGAAGTTGGAAAGAAACATATAACTCACAACACCAGTTTCTTTGACAGCGTTTTGAAAGCAATGTGCAATGGTGGGCATTATAAGAGAGAAGAGAAGTCGATTGCACCTTACCTTAAGAGTCAACTACTTAATTTATATGGGTTTCCAGGGACTGTGATATAGGAGCATACTACCCTCGGTGCGGATTCTCAGAATTTGTCTTGTTTGTACATGATTAAAACGGTGCTGTGCATATTTTGACAATACAGGCAAATACTGTAGATAAAATATAAATTGCCCTCCTGTCTGTTGCAATTTGTCGTCAGCTGCATTAGTGACAAAAATATATTTTATGATTTTGACCCCAGAAACTCAGAAAAATTCAAATCGTTTCCTTCTCATTATTCTCTCAAAAAATCTTTTTCATCAGCTGTAGCACCGCATTTCGCCATACGAATGATGCAAAATTAAGAAACGAATAAGCAGCCGTGGCCAACGACCAGCTCCACAACCAGTGCAGCTGCGCCCTGCGCAAAGGCGCAAGTCATGGAATCACTCCAGAAACTCGCGAGCCACGTCAAAGTTCACAAAACGCCATGACAATTGGACGGTGTCGTCTACTATAGTTACTCGGGCTTTAAGAGGAGTAAAACACAATCTTCAGTGCCAATTTCTCCCTCAGGATTTGTATTATTAGTACATGATCAAAACGGTGCACGGATATTTTGACTTTATAGGCAAATACGGATGACACTATAAAATATCAATTGTAATGGGGTCTATTACATTTTGGCATCAGTGGTTTGTCATAGGTTAAGGGTATGTGTGATTAGCACATTAGACATCCCTTATTTTATCATCAGTTGCAATACTGATAATGAAAACTATTGTATTACTTTGACCTTCGAATTCCGAAAATTTAAATCGCCTCGTCGTGATCGTTGTCTTGAAAATTCTTCTTGAGCTGATGTAGCACAGCTTTTGGCCGTACGGTTGATGAATATTAAGACGCGAATAAGCAGCTTTGTGCAGTGATGGGTACCACAACCACAATTGTAGTCCTGCCCACAGCGAAGGGACTATTATTGAGGGACTTGCTGCAAAAACTCGTGGGTTACGTCAAAGATCAGAAAACGGAACGGCAAATGGGGGATAAATTTATGGGGGGTCAATTTAAGAGTCAGCTACGAAAGTTGCTCGGGATTCAGTGAGACTGGTACGGGGGCATATACTATCCTCAGTGCCAATTTCTTTCTCGGAATTTGTATTATTTGTTCATGAACATAACGGTGCAGTGCAAATTTTGACACTATCGACTTATCGACAGATACGGTGGACTCAATAAAATATTATGGGATCTATTGTAATTCGTCATCACCAAGTTCATTACAGATAATGAAAAGTAATGTATTATTTTAACCTCTCGAAGTCATTATAGCTCAAATCGTATCTACGCCGTTATTCTTTCGAAAATTCTTTTTTCACCGCATTTCGGCGGACGGATGATGAAAATGAAGAAAGGAACAAGCAGCGTGGTGCAACGATGGGCACCGCAACCACAGTTGAAGCCGCGCCCGCCGCGGAGGGTCAGTTCAGGGAATGACTGCGGAAATTCGCGGGTTACGGTAAAGATTAAAAAAATGCTTGGACAATTGGGCGAGAAACTTATTCAGCCTAACTTTAAGGGTCGATTTCTTAAGTTACACGGAAAACAAGGGGGAGTAGTATGAGAGCATACAACCCCACAGTCAATTGTTTTTCTCAGAAGATGAATTATTTGTACATGATTATAACGGTGCAGTAGATATTTTCACTAAATAGGCAAATACGATAGACTCAATAAAATATCAGTTGTAATGAGATCTATTGCATTTTGTTGTCAGTGGTGAGCATGTACTGGCACAATAGTCTCTGATGGGGCCAAGGCCTAACAGCGGCGTCCATGGGAGTATTACGTGCGATTGGCACATAGACATCCCTACGCCGTGTTTTATCAGCTACATTTATGATTATATAAAAACTATTGTATTATTTTATGTATCGAGTTCAGGAAATTTAAATCAGTTCGTCGTCATTGTTTTTTCGATATATTTTCTTGAACTGTTGTAGTACGCATTTGGCAAATGAATATGTACCAACGTGTAACGATGGGTACCACAACCACAATAATTGTAGTCGCGCCCACCGCAAAGAGACAATTGATGCGAGTCACTGAAACAAGTGGACTACCTCAAAGATCAAAAAACGCCATGACAATTGAGCGGAAAACAGATTTTGCCTCACTTTAAGCGCCGACGTCTTAAATAACACGGTATTCAAGAGGGAGAAGAATAAGAGCATACAACTGCAGTGCTTATTTCTTTTCCAGAATTTGTATTATTTGTACATGATCATAATGATATGTTGAAATGATGAATTGATATTGTAAGTGAATACGGCGAATACGATGTGAAATGTAAATTGACCCGCCAAAATATATTGCTATCTTTTGTCAGTTCCATTACTGGCCATAAGCTATTGCTTTATTTTGACCTCCCGAATTCAAAAATAATAAAATCTTTTGCTCTTCATTATTCTCTCGAACTTTCTTTTTGAGTGGATGTAGCACCGCATTTGGGCGGATGGGTAACGAATATTAAGAAAGAGCGTTGTGCAACGATGGGCACCACAACCACACTCGTAGCCGCGCCCGCCGCGGAGGGACCATTGTTCAGGGAACCAGTGCGGAAGGCCGCGGCTTGCGTCAGAGGAAGCCCCGCGGCGAGGCGGAGGGCGGCGGCGCGCGTCCGCGGCAGTCGCGACGGCATGCGGGACGGCGTGCGATACGCGGCGCGGGCGCTGCTCCCGGCCGCCCTGTGCGCGCTGCTGCCTCTGCTGCACCCGCGCCTCGCCTCCCCGGCGCCCACCACCCACGTGCCGCTGCGCAACCCCTACGCCACGCCGCCCGCGCCGCACAACTACTTCGCCAACGACTCGCTGCTGGGGCAGCCCGTCGCCTGCACCGACGAGGAGAAGGAGTGCCTGCGCTACAACCGCATCTACTCGCCGCTGCTGGAGCGATGCTACGCGCTCGGGGACGGCCCCAACCGCTGCCGCTGGGCGGTCGACCCCTGCGCGTACGAGCGCGCCGGCCACCTCCGGGGCACGTGCGCTGCCTCCGACCTCTGCACGCCCTACTCCCGCGACCACTTCAAGATGGCGTTCGACGGGCAGTGCGTGGAGATCAGCCGGCTCCAGGAGGTGTGCGGGCCCGAGCCGGTCAACATCGTGCCGCACTTCTTCGGTGACTCGGAGTGCGCCCGGCCGCAGCTGCTAGCGCCCGACAGCCCGGTGTACGTCTCGCAGCCCGAGGAGCGGGGCCGCTGCGCGTTCCCGAACCTCCGCCACGACCTGACGGCCGTCGTGGCCGACAGCCACTTCCGGGAGTGCAGCGAGGAGCAGAGCGTGTGCTTCGCGGAGCAGAAGGTGTGGCTGAACGCCACCCGGCGCTGCTACGGCCTGTTCGAGGAAGAGCCGTGCGGCAGCGGGTCGCGGGTGGTGCTGGACCGCGAGGCGTGGGAGGCGGGCGCCGTGGAAGCCACGTGCGCGCCGCTCAACCCCTGCGCCAACCTGTCGGCCACGCACCGCCTCATGGCGTTCGACCGCCGGTGCTACGCCGCCGCCGCCGTCCTGCGCGCGCTGTGCCCGGGCGGCGTGCTGCTGCCCAACGCCTTCGGCGAGATGGCGTGCGCCACGCGCGACTACTATCGGCACGTGATCGAGTTGCGCAGCGTGCGGCCGCGCGCGTGCGAGCTCACGCACCGCGTGGCGCACGACCAGCCGCCGCCCGGCACGCGGGCCATGCCCGAGTGCGGGGTGACGGGCAAAAATTGTTCCGAGGTCTTCTAGACGGCGAAGTGACCCAGGCGACGTGCAACTTCATAGGCAGGCTTTATCTGGAAATTTGTCATCACATTTTTAACAAAAGTGATTCGTAACAGAACGACTATCAAATAACAACCCAATTATCAGCTAAATGACGTCGCTTGTTTCACTTTCGCATTTTCTATTAACACTACAGAAACGGTATTATTTACAGTGTTACTTTTATTGATTCACTTATGTTGGCCTAAAATATAGAAAAACCAATTGATAAAATATTTTTAAAACTCAGCAATACAAGTGAAATATGTTATTTTGGAAACATATTAATTATTTCAGTAACACTTGTTTCATTATTTTTAAATTATTAATTTATGAGCTATAACATGGCAATGTCTAGGTCTAGTCAAATAAAAACCCATTAATTGTTATAAATGTAAGTATGTTGACTAAAAATAAATGTTTTAAAAGGAAAACTCAAAAAATGTACTTCGTTTATTTCACAAAATATTCCATATTTAATGTGATTTTATTTTCCCTTATATTTCTCATCCACCTCATAAAAAATTCTTATTGTGATTAAAAATGACTAACGGAGGATTTTATTGCACTACAACTCCTGAAATATGCATGTTTTTATGCAAAAGATATACAAAAATTTTTAATTTTGTAAAAATTAACAGATCTTGAAACATGGAATTGCCAAGTTAAGGAGCTGAAATAATGTTCCAAAAACTTACTTCGGCACGGACGTTCTGGTTCTACTAATTAGTACGTGTCAATAAGATACTTTACGACAGCTAATTTCTGCATGACTGATTCTTCACCCATAAAATCATGAGTTTTGCGCCATTAAAAAGTTGAGTGTACAAAATATTTCATGTGAGATGAAAGCTCTTCGTGAAGTTACGTTCAACTGCCCTTCGTTTTCTGGTGAAACAATCGAGATGCGTTGAGCAGCGCTTCGACACCGGAAATCTCTAACGGGGGGCGAGCGGAGGCGAGCCGAAGCGTTATCGCCACTTCTCGTCACTTTTGCGGTTTTTTGACGTAGTTTCGTTGCCAAGAAAAGATGACAGCGAGTGATCTGAATCAGAACAAAAGCAGCAACATCATTTTCTTCGTTTACTCTGCCATAATAGTTTGGAAGTGCTAAGTCCTTGTACATGTTTCCAAACTTCTTTGCTTTACGTATTTGTCGTACATTTTCTTTGTTATCTTATATATCTCTCTTCTTTCTTGATTTCATAACTTCCACCCCGCCAAAAAAAACATCCTCTCCTTGCAACCATATTGAATTTTCCATTGATCGTAGGCCGTTTTGTAGAAATTAGCTGTCTCAAAAACCCGCGTATCGCAAGGTCCAGCGCATGAGAAAAACAGTTCGTGTAGTGAACACTTGTCAGAAGGAAACGATGAAAACTTTGATTTTGCCCACCGCAGATGGCTAGTACTTAAATTAACTTCTTGAGAAAGGCTATGAAAAGCCTGGTTGTTGTAATTGCTATTTGAGATAGGATTTTGACTTATTTTCATTACAGCCATTGTGATGAAAACATTTTCGAGATAAAATAGTCTTCATTAGCAAGAGATTGTCAATGATTACAAGATATATTACATGTGTTATGTGTAACCAAGAACCCGTTTTCAGATACGTATGTGGTTATTGTGAACAACTAATAATAAAACTTATTCTGAATTCAGTACGAACTAATTCTACTTATAACCTGAAATTTTTGAAATAATTTTCCAAAGTTTGGTTCAGTTTATATTTTTTAAATTGTGCTTTGTTGGCGGTAATAAAGCGTAATTCAGATAACTCACCACGAAGTAGTTCTCCTGAATTCTGTGTAATGCTGATTGCGGTTGATGAAGCAAGAAGGGGCGGCGACTGTGTGTGTGTGTGTGTGTGAGGGGAGGAGGGACGATGCCCATAGTCAGGATTGCGATGGCCGCGTCTGCATTTGTGTGGCGCAACGCCTTTCCGTACTTCGAAACCTCGCGTCGATTGTGGCGGCGAAGTACTCGGCGGCGGAAGTGGCCTGTGGGGACGCCACCGTCACCGTCGCCGACGCCTCCGCCACTGCCTCTGCCACTTCCATTACCACTACCAC